TGGGTCGCGACCCCTTTGGGGGTCGAACGACCCTTTCACTGGGGTCGCCTAAGACCATTGGAAAACACACATATAATTACATATTGTTTTTGTGATGAATCACTATGCTTTAATTATGTTCAATTTGTAACAATGAAATTGGGGGTCACCACAACATGAGGAACTGTATTAAGGGGTCGCGCATGAGGAAGGTTGAGAACCACTGGTCTAAGGGATTCGCAGACTCTCCTGCTGTAAAGAAAAGTGTCATTTATTTCAAATTTTAAAATGTATGTTTCAGAGGGAAAAAAGTGGTGCTGGGTGCTGCTGTCAGCCTGGCTCCTCGCCCTCCTGTTATTCACACCTACGCTACCTGCCTGACCCCTGAAGACACTCAGCTCCGTAGACTGGTCGTTTCCCACTTGCAATATTCCCTTTTCTTTTAGGAATGTCGACAGTAAACGTGTTTTCTAGCTACCGATGTCAAGGTATAAAGTCTGATTAGCAAATCTTGCATTACCTAGAGCTCTTGTCCCTCTATTGCCACCAGCACCAGGCCTTTTACATTCTTACTGCCTTTATGACCTGTTGTTATGATTTAAAAACAAAAAACACCACCACCACCACCAAAGTCACGGGTTTCGGCACCTGTCTAAGCACCCACTCCTTATCGAAACGCAGGGCTGGTAACAGAGTTGTGAGGGTGAATGTAAGGCCCTGAGCTATTGTACTTATTTCATAAGTCAACTTATGAAACATATCAAGGGGTTGATGATCGACACCAAGTTTAAGGAAGGTCGGCACAACAAAGGAACGGCATTAGCCACGAGGAGTGAGCTGTATTCGCTGCAAAGTACTTTCATAGCTCCATCTAGCGCCAGAGGGAGGACCCCGCGTGGTAGGAAGACACTGTGTCGGCCAGGAATCTGCAAGTGCCTCCAGAGCAGCGATTTTCAACCTTTTTCATCTCATGGCACACAAACTAATTGCTAAAACTCTGCCGCACTCTCTATATATATATCAAAAAAAGGTATAATTTGGATCCATTCACACCGACGGCTATTGCTGTGTCGGCTGTTACCACTTCTTTATCTGCAATCTAAGGAGAAAGAGGTCAATGTCCGTGACTAAGCAGTCCAGGTCCTGCATGTGTTAGACATTCCGGTGGGAAATCGCTGTTCCAGGCGGTGCGGAGGGCGCCCAAAAGGACGGGGCTCAGGAACCGTGAGGCCTGGACCACAAGGTTCAGAGCCGGCTCCGCCACCATGTCTGCCCGAGGGGGGGCGGGGGGTGCGGGAGAGGTAGCAGGCGAGGCCGAGGGGCGCAACAGGCTGACGGAGGTCCGAGAGCGCAAAGTCCGCTCGGGGGCCACCCAGGTGGATCGGACAGGGTGACC